TTAGGATTAATATGACTATGAAATATTTTTATTTTATATGCAATATTTCACATACATTATATGTAATGTGTAATGTTATATACACATATTCCACCATATATACATATGTTTTCCACCAGCTTTTGCCATGGTATCCCTTGATTTATATACCTTTAAAAAAATCTTTGATAATTCAAATGTGAATGCATTCTGTATTTACAGGTGTATTTTTAATAAAAAGAAGAAAACTAGAAATTAAATGTTTTTTTAATGTCAAATGCTGCTGACTCCCCCTGAAGTGAGTGTAAGAAGTTTCCTCAATGGCTAACATTTGATACATGTCTTGCTTTGATGAAATAAAGATTTAAAATATTATTTCCTCACTGCTGTAGTTATCTCATTGTTCTTGCTCTCTCAGCTTATTTCAATTACAGACTTCTGTTTTCATTAATATATCTGTCTATGTTTCTGAGAGTAAAGCACAAATGGTCTATCAAGAGTTGCAAGCACTTCACTGCTTAGAAGTTTTATTTTAGCTTAATGGACAGTAGTGGGTCTGGACAAATATATTTTTAACTGTTAAAAAGACCTATGCTTTTTTACTATATAGTGCAAAAGTATAATATGCCCATGAGGGAAGCCATCTTAATTGGATTATAATCTGTGTATAATGTAGAAAAATACCAATTATTTGGAATGTTATAGACAAAACTCCATGCAAAGTCTGTGCCTTGCGATACTTAAGACTTCTCTGTAGATATTATACATAAAAGGCTGGACACTGTATGATATTTTGTAAAAAGTATTTTTCTTTTCAGAAAAAATATATTTAAGTACTATTTGCAATAATCAGTGTGGATAAAACTGCTTGAAGGGATGGGAAGAGAGTGCAGTGACTTCCTAGGCAGTTTGGTGTCTAATGTACTGTAACCTAATCACATAAAAATACTGTTTTAGACAGTCTTAATTCCTTCCATCAATAAGAAAAAGCAGCAGCTACTCATAAGTGTTTGGTTTAATACAGATGGAGAATGTAAGCCATTGTGTTCATCACAGCACATCACAGAGAAGTGATGGTTTCTTATTTCCCCAGGAGTCCCAGCTGAAAGCTCTGAAGGAGACTGTGCAGCTTTGCCTGTCCTCCGTTCTGCACAGTCAGCCTCCCACAGTGAGTCTGAGCTCCTCCAAACCAGCTGAGAAGCTGCCTTCCTCCAGTGCAAAGGGCTCCAAAGCCCCATCTCTAGGGACAAGCACCAAGGTATGATTTCACTCTTGGGTGGGGTCTTTTTTAACATCTTTGAAAGTTTGTCCTGTAAGAGCATCAAACTGAAACTAAGGAGGATTTCAAATTCATTGGAAGATTATGACAAATTTTGAGGATAATTCTAACACTGTTTCTGATGTCAAGTAGTTTTTTTTATTTGGGAAGCAGCTACATTTTACTGAATAACAAAACTCTGTCACTTGGTAAATGGATTAATAGTGTCTGCGCAACAAATCTACAATGCAGATGGATTTGCATTTAAAATAAATGAGGGTGCTAATTCATAGGATCATTTACCTGTCAGGCACTGAAAGTGAGTTTGTGGTAATACAGCACTAAACAGTAATATGGCGTTTGCATATCACAGTTTCTTTCAATGAAAAAAAAAATATATATAAAAACCATAAAATCATCTGGGACACCCAAATCAAAATTTCCAAAATGGATCGATGAACTTGACAGTAGGGAATAGGGAAT